ACGTTTTTAGCTCAGACTGTATTATTTGACTTACTGGGATTTTTGATCTACAGACACTGCAAACATTGTAGTTTTTGACCTAGCGGCACAGGTATAAATTATTTGATCTTCCGGGAAGATTTCAAGGAAGAATAAATTGTATTGCTCGTTGGCTGACCGATAACCCGTTTTATAGTCTGGAAGATTTTTTTAAGAATAAGATTCCTCAGTTGTAATTGTGCATTTAGAATATGTATTATAATATGTCTCCCTTTGTTGAGTTAGCTATAAGTATTTTAGTGATGGTCGGATCCGGATATCGGACTACCGGATCCGCCGGATCCGGGCAAGAACCGGCACCGGATCGGATCCAAAAAATTCCGGATCTTGGGCTGGATCCGGTTTTGATGGATCCGATTTTTTCAAATTTTTTCCCGATTTTTTCCTAGCAAAAAGCTGTTTGTATCACTGTACATCACCGATTTTTTTACTAACACAAAGCTGTCTGTATCACTTTACAACCCCGAATATTTTTACTAGCACAAAGCTGTCTGTATCACTGTACAACCCCGATTTGTTTACTACACACAAAGCTGACTGTATCACTGTACAACACCGATTTTTTTACTAGCATAAAGCTGTCTGTATCACTGTACAACCCCGATTTTTTTACTAACACAAAGCTGTCTGTATCACTTTACAACCCCGAATATTTTTACTAGCAATAAGCTGTCTGTATCACTGTACAACCCCGATTTGTTTACTACACAAAAAGCTGTCTGTATCACTGTACAACCCCGATTTTTTACCAACACAAAGCTGTCTGTATCAGTGTACAACACCGATTTTTTTTTACTAGCATAAAGCTGTCTGTATCACTGTACAACCCCGATTTGTTTACTACACAAAAAGCTGTCTGTATCACTGTACAACCCCGATTTTTTACCAACACAAAGCTGTCTGTATCAGTGTACAACACCGATTTTTTTTTACTAGCATAAAGCTGTCTGTATCACTGTACAACCCCGATTTTTTTACTAACACAAAGCTGTCTGTATCACTTTACAACCCCGAATATTTTTACTAGCAATAAGCTGTCTGTATCACTGTACAACCCCGATTTGTTTACTACACAAAAAGCTGTCTGTATCACTGTACAACCCCGATTTTTTACCAACACAAAGCTGTCTGTATCAGTGTACAACACCGATTTTTTTTTACTAGCATAAAGCTGTCTGTATCACTGTACAACCCCGATTTGTTTACTACACAAAAAGCTGTCTGTATCACTGTACAACCCCGATTTTTTACCAACACAAAGCTGTCTGTATCAGTGTACAACACCGATTTTTTTTTACTAGCATAAAGCTGTCTGTATCACTGTACAACCCCGATTTTTTTCCTAACACAAAGCTGTCTGTATCACTGTACAACACCAAATGTTTTTACTAGCACAAAGCTGTCTGTATCACTCTACAACCCCGATTTTTTACTAACACAAAGCTGTCTGTATCACTGTACAACCCCGATTTTTTACCAACACAAAGCTGTCTGTATCAATGTACAACACCGATTTGATTACTAAACACAAAGCTGTCTGTATCACTGTACAACCCCGATTTTTTTCCTAACACAAAGCTGTCTGTATCACTGTACAACACCTTTTTTTTTAATAACACAAAGCTGTCTGTATCACTCTACAACCCCAAATGTTTTTACTAGCACAAAGCTGTCTGTATCACTCTACAACCCCGATTTTTTACTAACACAAAGCTGTCTGTATCACTTTACAACCCCGAATATTTTTACTAGCACAAAGCTGTCTGTATCACTGTACAACCCCGATTTGTTTACTACACACAAAGCTGACTGTATCACTGTACAACACCGATTTTTTACTAGCATAAAGCTGTCTGTATAACTGTACAACCCCGATTTTTTTATTAACACAAAGCTGTCTGTATCACTTTACAACCCCGAATATTTTAACTAACACAAAGCTGTCTGTATCACTGTACAACCCCGATTTTTTACTAAGACAAAAAGCTGCCTGTATCACTGTGCAACCCCGAGTTTTTACCAACACAAAGTTGTCTGTATCACTGTACAACACCGATTTGATTACTAAACACAAAGCTGTCTGTATCACTGTACAACCCCGATTTTTTTCCTAACACAAAGCTGTCTGTATCACTGTACAACACCTTTTTTTAATAACACAAAGCTGTCTGTATCACTCTACAACCCCAAATGTTTTTACTAGCACAAAGCTGTCTGTATCACTGTACAACCCCGATTTGTTTACTAAACACAAAGCTGTCTGTATCACTCTACAACCCCGAATGTTTTTACTAGCACAAAGCTGTCTGTATCACTCTACAACCCCGAATATTTTTACTAGCACAAAGCTGTCTGTATCACTGTACAACCCCGATTTGTTTACTAAACACAAAGCTGTCTGTATCACTGTACAACACCGATTTGATTACTAAACACACAGCTGTATGTATCACTCTACAACCTCGATTTTTTACCAACACAAATCTGTCTGTATCACTATACAACCCCGATTTTTTCCAGATTTTTTTACTAACACAAAGCTGTCTGTATCCATGTACAAGACCGTTTTTTCCCCGAGTGTTTGTCTCTTGATGCAAATAACTTATATGGCAAGGCCATGTCTCAGTGTTTGTCTTTTGATGCAAATAACTTGTATGGCAAGGCCATGACTCAGTATTTGTCTCTTGATGCAAATAACTTATATGGCAAGGCCATGTCTCAGCGTTTGTCTCTTGATGCAAATAACTTATTATATGGCAAGGCCATGTCTCAGTGTTTGTCTTTTGATGCAAATAACTTATATGGCAAGGCCATGTTTCAGTGTTTGTCTCTTGATACAAATAAATAACATATATGGCAATGGCATGTATCTTTCCGAACTGAATCCGACCCGATTTTTTTCCGAAGATCCGGATCCAAATTTTTTAAGATCCGGATCCGGTACCGACATTTTCTTGGATCCGCCCATCACTAAAGTATTTTATTAATTAATTAACTGGCTATGCTATAATTTTAGCTGTATCTTGAGTCTTGACATTGTGGATAATTTGTACAAATTCAAAAGACAATAAAGCATATTTCATTTCATCATAAATAAGTTATAAAACAAATAGTGATGGGTCGGTGTAACTTTTTCAAGGTTTACTACTTGGAACCGGTCTACTACTGGTACCGGTTCCTAATAATGGGCAATATGGAATTGAATTTTGGTGATTTTCCTCTCAATTGAAAGACTAAAAAAAAAGAATTGTGACCTTTTTACTACAGAAATCTTCATGCAAAACATTTTTTAGAAAATGGAATACCATGACTATTCCAAATTTAATAATTTACAAAAGATTGTTAGCTGTGCAGTCAAATTTTGATGACTACATTAGCGAAAACTAGGACCACATTTATAACACCAGATTTAAAAATAATTTTTAATACCCAAGAAGTTTGAAGCTTGTAGAAAAAAAAACTACTAAATATATTTGGGAAAAAGCTTTTTTATAAACTACCCTCAACTCTAAAAACTTTATTTTATAATAAATCTTTAAAAGCAGCCTTGCTGATTTTCTGACTAGTAAAACATATACAGGGTGATTGGTACTCAGTGTGACAAAACTTTTTTGGTGTAAGTACAAAGTAAATGAAGTGTGATGATGCATATAAAATGTTCCAAGTCTAAAAATTGGTTTCCCAAAAATTATTTTATGTTTTTCAAAAATAACCATGCTTTTAAAGTTAAACTTAATACAGCGATTTCTCAATTACCTGTATATGGATTTGAGTAGGCTAGATAATGTCATTTTTTTGTTCTACATTAAATTTTGAATACAGTAAGAATAATACAAAATGACAGAGGATCAGTTGTAAAAACTCCATTGTAAATATATTCAAAGATAAAAATTTTGATGTTTGATAAAAATTTAAAAAACAATTGTCTATTGCATTTTTCATGCCCTGTATACAAGAAAGTGTCGGAATATGTTAAAAACTGTGCCATTTTATAAGCTTTCCAACCATATGCTACACTATTGAGGTTTAGATATATTTTGTTTGTTTTAGTGGTTTGAATGCCAGAAAACAGGGAACTTTTTTACTGTTTTACTGTTCAAGCTGAAACAAAAATACAACTTTTGCTTAATACATGCCGACTTTTTATGTTTTAAATGTTAAAGACACCATGCTTTGTAGTCTTCAAACCACTAAAGCGTACATAAGCAGACATAAAGCTCAACGGTGTAGCATATGGTTGGAAAGCTTATAAAATGGCGCAGTTTTTAGCATATTCCGACACTTTCTTGTATACAGGACGTGTGAACAAATGCAATTGACCAATGTTTTTTTAATTTTTATCAAACATCTTAATTTTAACAACTGATCCTCTGTCATTTTGTATTATTCGTATTCAAAATTTACTGTAGAACTCGAAAATGACATTATCTACTGAAATCCATTTATAAGTAATTGAGAAATAGCTAAATTAAGTTTAATAAATAATAAATAAATTAATAAATAAATTTAGTTTAAAAACATAATTATTTTTGAAAAAACATAAAATAATTCTTTGGGAAGCTAATTTTTAGACTTGGAACATTTTATATGCATCATCATACTGCATTTACTTTGTACTTACACCAACAATTTTTTGTCACACTGAGTACCAATCACCCTGTTACATTGTAAATGAATACCGGTACCTTAATAAAACTAATGAATCAATATGACTTTTATTTTTTACAAGTTTCTTATTTGACTTACTCTTACTATTCATAGAAACTCATTTTTTACTTTTATTGTTTAACAAATTATTCCAAATTGTTTATAAGTATTTTAGTGCATAAGATATATTATTGTACATTTTAGGTTAGTTTTAATCTTGACAATGCCATCCGTTTTTTAGCTTTGCTATGATTCAAAACGTTGTATGCCAATAAAGAATTATTTATTCATTACAAAATATGGATATTTTCCAGATGGATTCCAAACTTCACAAAACCAACAGCACGGTTAGATCAAGTGTTGATGAAATATTTGGCAAGTATACTACACTCATTTATTTTTTTAAGTACCTAGGTCTAAAAAAGATTGTCTTTTTGCAGCTATTACCCTTTTTTACAGAGGGTAATTTTTTAACTACTTACCCTTAATTACTGTAATTCAATCTTACTTACTTAATTCAATGAGTTTTGGGGAATTTTTAATATCTAGCAATCATTGTTATTCTGATTAATCGTTAACGACCAAAAATAACTTAATAAGAGATTTTTTAAATCTTTTGTTTCTAGGGTAGAAAAAAAAAATTAAACTACTGTACTGGTATTTATAGTTCATTTTTAATATTATTTGAACTTGAAATCAAATTTCAAAAAGGTTATATAGTCCAGGAGCTGAGGGGGTTTGAGCATGCATGAAAGTAGTACGCAATGTTATTGCTGATTATTGTAATATGGACTGTGGTGATCAAAATTACGTATGTCGCCTATTTCAAAAGTTGTCGATAAGGTGGGTGGGAGGGGGCAAACGTGGCGGTTTGCGCTATGCGTTAAAACGCTGATAGTTCGAAAACGGTAAAAGATAGAACATCGGTTAAAACGTCGTTGGAATTCTAAAAATGTGGAAACAATAATGGTTATTGGGTCCGAGGTCGTATCCTTATAAATAAACAAGTTATTGTATAAAAAATGTAAAAATGGACTTTTCGTGTAGTTTTTTTTTTACCGAAAGTAGAATTAATTTGTGAGTGTCGCAAAGAAGTAATATCAAATATCTTTGCTGATAGTTGTAATATGGACTGTGGTGATAAAAAATACGAATGTCACCTACTTTTTAGGTGGTCGAGAACTTGGGGGGAGGGGGGCAAAGATGGCGGAACGCGCTATGCATCGAAACGACTGTAGCTCGAGAACGGTACGAGATAGGACATCGGTTCCAAAAAATATTACCAATAGAAAAGGTCATTGGGTTAAAAGTTGTATCTTAACTAATAAAAAAGTTATAACAATAATAAGTTTAACAAAATCTACATCGTACAGCTATTTTTTTCGAAAATCTTATGGATTGTTGATAAATAATAGTGCAATTACTTAATTACTCGGCTAAATATTAACTAGATGCATTTTCTTATAAGAAAAAAATATATTATTACGAATACATTTGGTTTAAAATGTAAAACACGGCCTCCAAACGCCTTGGGGTTCGTCCGATAGGTTGCGTCATAATTGCTGCGCAGTGCTGCTGATATCGGCACAACTGTTAATAAGAACTGAATAACTGGCATAACTGAATAAGAATCTGTTACATAATCATATTGTTATAACCTACAACTTTATAATAATTAAAAATGGATTTGTAGTGGTAGTCTGTATTATGCATTTGATTGCGGCGAAACCCCAAGTATTATATGTAGTTTGGAGGCCGTGTTTTACATTTTAAACCAAATGTATTCGTAATAATATATTTTTTTCTTATAAGAAAATGCATCTAGTTAATATTTAGCCGAGTAATTAAGTAATTGCACTATTATTTATCAACAATCCATACGATTTTGGAAAAAAATAGCTGTACGATGTAGATTTTGTTAAACTTATTATTGTTATAACTTTTTTATTAGTTAAGATACAACTTTTTACCCAGTGACCTTTTCTATTGGTTATATTTTTTGGATTAAAACTACGTTTTAACCGATGTTCTATCTCGTACCGTTCTCGAGCTACAGTCGTTTCGATGCATAGCGCGTTCCGCCATCTTTGCCCCCCTCCCCCCAAGTTCTCGACCACCTGAAAAGTAGGCGACATGCATATTTTTTATCACCACAGTCCATATTACAACTATCAGCAAAGATATTTGATATTACTTCTTTGCGACACTCACAAATTAATTCTACTTTTGGTAAAAAAACTACACGAAAAGTCCATTTTTACATATTTTATACAATAACTTGTTTATTTATAGAGATACGACATCGGACCCAATAACCATTATTGTTGTCCACATTTTTAGAATTCCAACGACGTTTTTTTTTTCCGGGACCGCGGGAGACGACGATGATGTTTACATGGCTGCGGTAAATATTAATGATTTTACCGCGATCGCGTACATCGACGATTACGTTTCCCTAACTGCTGGAGTCAATGATGATGTCTACACGGCCGTGGAAGATTTTCATGATTTGCCGTGACCGCGAAAGATGACGATGATGATTTTGCCGCGATTGCGGCCGACGACGATGACGTTTCCGTGACCGCGGGAGACGACGATGACGTTTCCGTGACCGCGGGAGACGACGATGACGTTTCCGTGACCGCGGGAGACGACGATGACGTTTCCGTGACCGCGGGAGACGACGATGACGTTTCCGTGACCGCGGGAGACGACGATGACGTTTCCGTGACCGCGGGAGACGACGATGACGTTTCCGTGACCGTGGGAGACGACGATGACGTTTCCGTGACCGCGGGAGACGACGATGACGTTTCCGTGACCGCGGGAGACGACGATGACGTTTCCGTGACCGTGGGAGACGACGATGACGTTTCCGTGACCGCGGACGACCACGATGACGTTTTTGTGACCGCGGGAGACGACGATGATTATGTCTACACGGCCGCAGATGTTTATGATTTGGCCTAGATCGGAACGACGGCGATGACGTTTCGATATCTGCGAGAGGCAATGATGATGTCTACACGGCCGTGGAAGATTTTCATGATTTGCCGTGTCCGCGAAAGACGACGATGATGATTTCTACACGGCCGCGTGATATGCTCATGATTTTACCGTGATTGCGGCCGACGACGATGACGTTTCCGTGACCGCGGGAAACGACGATGACGTTTCCGTGACCGCGAGATCAACGATGATGTTTACACTGCCACGGGAAATATTCATTATTTTGCCGAGATCGTGGATGACGACGATGACGTATCCGTGACCGCGGGAGACGACGATGATGTAGACACGGCCGCGGGAAATATTAATGATTTTGCCGAGATTGCTGACGACGACGACGATGACGTTTCCGTGACTGCGGGAGGCTATGATGATGTCTACACGGCCGCGGAAGATATTCGTGATTTGCCGTGACCGCGAAAGACGACGATGATTATGTCTACACGGCCGCCGATGTTCATGATTTAGCCGCGATCGCGGACGACGACGATGACGCTTACGTGACCGTGGGATCAACGATGATGTTAACACTGCCGCAGGAAATATTCTTGATTTTGCCGAGATCGCGGACGACAACGATGACGTTTTTGTGACCGCGGGAGTCAATAATGGTGTCTACACGGCCGCGGAAGATTTTCGTGATTTTGCCGCGATTGCGGACGACAACGATGACGTTTTCGTGACCGCGGGAGTCAATGATGGTGTCCACACGGCCGCGGAAGATTTTGCCTTGATCGATTTCCGTGATCGCGAGAGACGGCGATCATGTATACATACCGTGGAAGATGTCCAGGATTTTTCTATGATAGCGTAAGACTGTGATGACGTTTACGTCACTGTGGGAAGCGACCACACGACCGCAGGAAATATTCAGGATTTTGCCGCCGTTGATAATGTGTTCATAAAAAATGAAGATAATATTCAGGATTTGGCTGCTATCGAGAGAGACGATGTTTCCGTGGCCTTAAGTAATGATGATAATGAAAATTATTACTATAATAAGGATTATTACTTTTTAAACACTAGCTCAATGGACTTTGAAACAAATTAATGTAAGTTTATATTGTATACTTGAGCTGCAAGTCTTAAATTGATTATAGTTTAAGTGGAACCAACAAATACGCGGGAACCTGGAAAAACTTTGAAAAACCAGGAAAAAACCTGGAAAAAACCTGGAATTTCACTTTAATAAAATAGTATACACCCTGTAATAGTTATTATAAGTGTACGTATTCTTTTTTTTATGCTAGGGTGGTTGATATCTTTAATATAATATTCAGTGATTAAATGTCTTGTACATAAGCACTAAGTTCGACAGAATCCAGGGAGCCACACTTTTAAGTGTTTAAATATACAATCTTAATTTTCACCTAAAGCTTCCCATACATGGTCAGACCATCGATGTATAATACATAATAATACTCCACTGGATAGAGGACTGTGTGGTGGAAAAAAGAGCCATGCCCACCATTTGAATTGGTGGGATACTGAGGCGGACACAACAAAGATACATTGACTCAACATGATCTGCTACACTTACTTCTTAACATAATAATTTTAAAGCCAGTGCTTATTACTGTGTAGTTTGCTTGAAACTTAACAAATTTTTTTATAATTTATTGAGGCAGATTAAAACTGATGATCGTTTTTTAACACCACTAAAAAAGTAAAAACAAGAAAAATGTAGTGAGCAAGGAACTTTGGGTCAGAAAAAAATTTTTAAATTAAGTATGAATGAATATTTTTTTGAAGCTTTTTTTCATACGGAGTTTGCTTGTAGCATTTTTAAGCGATTACATATATATATAAAACCAGAAAATTTTTGCTTGGTGCCGCGGCATTGGCTCTAGGAGCTCGGCCTGCTCGGCATCAGTTTACGGGATTTAGATACTGAATTTCTGACATGTAATTATTATTATACTGTAGTTTAGCCTAAAGTACCTTTCTTACATCAGTATTTCTTATTTTTATATCTTGTTTACAGGAGAGTCTGTGTTCAGAGAAATGCAGAAACGTTTAACCAATGACACATCCATTGTTGAGTATGCATCAGAATCAGATGACCGATTTTCTGTGTGGGTCAGTTTTGCTGAGATTTACAATGAAGCAATTTACGATCTGTTGCAACCTGTCACTCCCAACTTCAAACGAAAACAACTCAAATTGGGTCAAGATAATCACAAGAATTATTACATTAAAGGTAATATTTTAATACACAATGTCATCATATGCATTTTTTGGCCTTCAAAAAATGTTAGTTACGAGTTTGAAACGTTTGAAGGCCATGTCACACCGACATCCGCCGCTTCCGCCGTGGGAGTACCGCGGAATGAGTACACACCTAAATCACATAAAAAAGGAGTTCCAGACAGTGGATGGCAGACAAAAAGTGCATACCACATTGAACTTTATATTTAACTAGCTGTAACCCGCGGGCTTTGCCCCGTTTAACTTCTTAATTTTCAAGATGATCTCGTTCGCATGGCTCAATCACGTCCTGGTTGAAGTTCGTTCGCTACGCTCACTCACCTTTAGGTTGGAGCTCGTTCGCTACGCTCACTTGCCTTCAGGTTAGCTCGTTCGCTACGCTAACTCGCCTCCAGGTTGAAGTTCGTTCGCTACGCTCACTCACCTTTTGGTTGCAAATAGCTGTTGTCATAAATGTAAAAGAAATAATAGTGCTGCACCCTGTTGGTAATCCTTGTAACTTTAATGCTATTGAACATCATAGAACAGAACCAACTTGTTTAATTGAAACAGCTGTTAAGATTCATTAATTCCATTTCTCATAAGGTTAACATGGGAAACTCCAGAGCCACTGGGGCACAGCCGATTGGACGGATCACGAAATTGATGGTGTATAAACCTATTCCATGAAATTCTACACGTATGTACCAAGTTTCGTGGCAATCGGTTCAGCGGTGTCTGAGTTTATCACTGCCAAACAAATATATATATATATATACAAACATCCTCTTTTATACTTATAGATTTCTAAGTAGGCTTCTTCAGAAGAACTAGGATAACAGTTACAAAATTTGCATCATGTTTAAATAGTATACATCTTGCCAAGATAGGCCTTCTTCTCACTACAAATGAAAATAGCCCATGCACATCTATGTATTACCATAATAATGCTTACGTTACTTGTATGGGATAGGGGTATGGAAAAATGTAGGCCTATCTAATATTTGAGTTAGGTTATGCTATACTTTGCTAGACCTGTTACACTGGCTTTTTAGGGGTTATTGCAAGACTTTGGTAGCGAAACAGTTGTCAAATTATAGGAAGGTGGTTGGACTGAACATATGACATTCACTGTCACTTTTGCGAATTCCAGGACTCAAACACGTGTTTGTCGAGTCGGAGGAGGAGGCGTACAAAGTATTGATGTTTGGTAAGACAAATCTCCAAGTGGCAGCCACTGGGATGAACACTAGGTCCAGCAGGTCTCATTGTATATTCAACATCAAACTGATCAAGAGTCCTAATGTGGAACACCCTGAGCGAGTGGTGGTTAGCAGGTAACACAACATTGAACTAAGCAGTTTACAAGTTAAAACTACTCTCCTAAGTTAAGGAAAGGTGATACATATGGTGGTCATTTGCATTTTTCAAACCTCTCCTACACAACACTTTCTAAATTTGAACCAATTGTCGTAACATGTTATTGTTCTAGACATGTTATGAGATGTAGACAGTCTTTAAGAAAATCTGTCACTTTCCTGCTAAAAAAACACTTGTCTAATGAAACTACGGTTAAATACATGCGTTTATTAAAAGAGTCACTAGATTAAACTCGGCTGGACTTTTTCGTATCCTTATTAACAATTCAAAACGGTGTTTTAAAATTTAAATCTTTGCAGAAAAGGTATTATAGTTGGTCTTTATTAAGTATATTTGCTTTGTTGCAAACCTTGTACATCCAGTATACGAGTGATTACTAATTAGGACAAAAAGTCAAAGTTTTCTGTATTTATAATTTCTTCCAAAACAAATCTTTTCTCTATTATTAATCAATTAAATCTAGAAATAACTTCTTAATTCAGATAAGGTTAAGATAATGTTTATATTGTAGTTAAAAAAATATTCGTTTAAACATTCCAGTAGACTACCTCTTATCCGGACTTCTCGTCTTATACTGTATACAGTATTTGACTTAAATTTAGGAGAGCATCGTGTTTAGAGACATGATCACTGGTCTAAAATCTTTCCCACGGGAACAGTCGTTTCAGTACCGCCCACTTCCTGCCGATCTAGTCCGGTTAAACCAATGTGCTGATAAAAATTGTCCGGTAAAAGAGATGTCATTTCCGTCGGGTGTAGTCCGGTTAAACTGATGTTAGGATAAGAGGGAGTCTACTGTTCATCCTTTATTATTTATACAGCTTCGCTATATGTGACTTGGCTGGAGCAGAAAGGCAGAAAAAGACTCTGAATGTTGGTCTTAGATTGAAGGAATCACAAAACATCAATTGTTCACTTCACGTCTTAAGTCGATGTTTTACAATTATCAGGTAAGTTGTATATTTAAGTTTTTTTTTTATTAATATAGGAAATTTATTCCGAAAATAAAAATTTACAAGTTTGTAATGCTCGTTTGGAGTTTTCTTAGCAAAAACCTTACACTTGTTTGAGTTTGGGATCGGTTTGCTGACAGGCAAAGCATGATAGAAATGTCTTTACAGTTGTAGAGCGATCATCTGTGCTCACAAGTGCAGTATAGCGTGTGCTTGATTTAGAATGATTTTTACTAGATGTGAGGGCAGGCATTGAGTTAGCCTTGTGACAAAAAGTTGTAGATTAGCATCCTCAATGTTTGGGCATTCTTCATTGAGAAATTTAATGATTTTTTTAACAGATGGCAACAAATGAGTTTCACATGATTTAAATGAGCGGTAATGTTCAAGTTTTTGCTGTAAATTTCGGTCATGTTTACGGAGCAAATGAGCTGACCGGAAAGGGATTGTCATTGGTAGTGATGTCACTTTCTAAAGCAATAAGCAGGGTGTCTACCAACCGGGAAATCCGGGAAAACCGGGAATTGTACTTAAATTTGTATTGGCCATGAAATGTACGGGAATTGTCCTTAAATGCCAGACTATGTACTTAAATTTTTAATAGGCCATAATTTTATTGATCGCTAGTTGGTTAGGAGCACATAAAAGGTTTATCAGATGTTTGTTTACATTTCCATAATTTATTACTAGAATAATTATGCAATAAAAATCCCATTAGCAATCTCAAACCCATTAATATTTTATCACGACAATCAAGTGTCAAGTCAAGTACTTCCAAGAACTGTTGACTCAGCAGCTAGCTCATAAAAGTTGTATCACTTTTATTCCTTTACAACTTCTTTTTTTATTACTAGGGTAATTATTATTAGATCCCAAACCTATTTTATCATGAAAATAATAGCTTTATAATGGCTGTTAAATTTCACTTCTTACTTGGGGCTTGTAGATTCAATTTGCCGCGGCCAGTGCCTAGTGCCATAAAACTGAATGAATGAATGAATGATTTATTCCGTCAAATTTGCTACAAAGTACTATGTTTACCTTTTTACTATAATATTAAGTTTACAACATAAAATAATCAAAAACAGAAAAAAAATAACAAAGTTGTGAACTTAATGTTGAATTATACTAAAACTAGCAAAACGAACATAAAAAACTTATAATTTTGTAGCTAGTTGTAATTAATGGTCTTGTGGAATCAGCAGACATAGGCGAACTCTGCCTGTGCGTCTGCTGGGTTGCATATAGTCTTAAATGACCTAAATTTGTTGATTGAAAATTCAAACAGAATAAATTGAATAAAAAACGGGAAAAAAGATTTTTTGAATTTTACTTGAGGATGAATGATATGCAATTGACATGAAATGAGTGTCTAAATATATATATACCGCTGAGGTTAACTGTTTATGGTTTCATATTAAACATGTAAATAATCTACAGTCTTATTTTGTAAGTTAACCCCTTTTTTATGGACATTTTATCTTTCAATTGACAAAACCACAAGCATTGTTGTTTGCATTTATGTTTTATCACTGTGTAGGCCTATGCTTGGTTTCAAATTATTTCATTGCATTTTCTGTATCTTTGTCTTATATTGTTGGCTATTCAGGTTTCAATGTTTTTTGTTTCCTATATATTTATTTATTGAGTTGTATGCTTTAAGCAATCTAAATCTTATGAACTAGAATGATGATAGTGACTTTGCTGCTATTATAACCTCATTGTTTGTTACTCAGTTTATATAGGCCCTCCTAAATAATTAGGTCTAGGCCTGGGTATTTTGATTCTTGAAAGAGCTGTAAAATATATTAAGAAAATGTAATTGAGCCTAAGATAAACAACTAATGATTGCTATGTGTCGATATTAACTTTGCAAATGAAAATACAATAATCTTACTCTGTGCTTATTGCTTATTAATAGCCGCTTACCATACCTTGATTTTGTACTAAGAATTGAGTAACAATATGCATTAAAGATTTTTTTTCAAAAGTAGTCGAGAACCTAACCTCCTGGATCGGATAAGCTATGTTATGAAGTTTACGTGACCGATGGAGATATTTGTCGCTATCGGAGGAGACAATGATTGCGTTTCTCTGTTACACTATAAAAGCTTTACCTAAAGTATAGGTAGGCCTATGTTTTTTTACTTTCAATAAATTTCTATTTTGAAATTTTTAACTCTTATCTATTATTATTTACTTTTCTCTCTGTTACAACTACAGTGAATAACAAGATTAATACAGTTTGACAAATCAGGAAAATTATTCGGTAGGCCTAATGACACCGTCAAAGGTTACGGCAAAGTGTCCTTAAATGTACGGGAATTGTCCATGAATTTTTTATCCAGAATGTAGTAGACACCCTGAATAAGTGATTGTGTATGTTCCAGAAAATGATTTAGAAATTCACATATTGATTTTGCATTTTTAGCTGTGGCAATGGGAAGATCCAATATAGCATTTAAATGCAAAGCAGTTAAGCGTCTGTGATTGTGGTATCGATCGTGCAACAATTTGTATGCGATTTCGTAGTTAGATTCACTAATGTTTAGGTTTTTAATTCAATTTCGAGGTTCTTCAGTTAGACAACTTAGTAGGTATTGCAATTTTGATACTGGAGACAGAGATGTGTTGAGGTGTGCAGCGCTATCAAAAAGATTGATGAAATTTATCCACTCGGCTGAGTTTCGGTTTGTGGTAGGCGGACAGGTTGCATGAAAGCTGTACAATTGGAATTATTCACCATTTGTTGAGAGGGAGATTGAGGTTCGTCAACAGGGATTAGTGACTCTATAGTACTACAAAGATGTATACATAATTCACCAATAGTGTTTTGGTCATCATTTAGAATAATGTCATCAAGTTCTTCGTTCTAAAACGCGTCTAAAATTCAGTTCAAAATTGTCTCATTTTTTCCTGATTTAATCTAAATAGCTATGAAGTGATTTTATTTGCACAGAAGATAGGTTGTTTGTTTGAGCACTTTCACTTATTGAAACTATATTTTCTTGAATCTTTCCAAGTCCAACCTTGAATTGTTTGGTTAGTCTTTCATAGGTAGAAACCTTAATAGGGCCTAGGTTAACAGGAGCCAAAATTGAACAAAAATACAGTCAAAATACACAGGACACAAAAGTTATTTCACTTCGTTACATTAAAATAAATTAATTATGCTAGTTCAATTTAAACAGTTTGTAGGCCCAAACTCGGAACCAATCAACAAAAAATATAAGCACTGCAGTATTGGTATAAAATATTTTAAAAATGGCTATACATGTCACAGAGAGTCTTTCAGTTATTGGAGTAGCCTAGATAGGCTAATGTAATCGAGAGAGTGAGAGAGATAAATAGAGAGGTAGAGGGAAAGTACGCAATATGCGTGAACGACAATAATGAGAGTAAATGAGGCTATGTTCGTCTGCAATCTTCAACAAAAGTCCAAATAATTAGTTGAATTGGTTAATCAATAATCCGACGTGAGTGGACCAAAGATGTAGCGTAATCCTAAGAAGGCTTTTTTACAAAAAAAGCGGACTGTATATGAAGGGATGATTAATTTAATTTTGGTTACAAAAAATTAATGTTTAGGACTTTTGATTTTAATTAAGGTACAGTTTCTGTTGCCACACATGATGTTCTGGAAAGTCTGGTAGAGGATGTATGAATATGGCATACGTTTCTTCTGGTGAAAGATAGCTTCATAAAAAATAACAGTTTTTAGCGTCCAAAGTTCCACACATACATAATTTAAATTCAAATTAAAGGGGTTAATTGGTTAGACAAGCACAAAAGAAAGAGTTAGGTGAATGAAACAAAATGAGAGGACAACAAAAAAAAAATCGTTACACAAAAACTATATGAAGACAGGTAAAAGCAAAGATTTTTAAAGAAGGGAATGTTTACATTTATAAATTTGTATTATTGTATTGTTGTGGCCATGTGGGGATTTTGTAATATGCTCTCTCTCTCTCTCTCTCACACACAAATGAAGTAGATTACGTTTTTGTCTGTATCCGCAAGGGACGGGATTAGAACGACCATCTTGGAGTTAGTTTGTTATGCAGCTCAGTAGGCATCTAGCCGTGCTAGTGAGAGGTTTCTGCTGTACTCCGTTGAGTTACTGTGACAGTTTAAAATGTCTGTGTTAATTGAAAATGCCGCGAACTGTAAAGTGCGTGCAGTTATAAGGTTTTGACTGCAAAAAACTGTAAACCGATACAAATCTATCGGCAATTTTGTGGAGGTTATGGGGAAAACATTATTCCTGAAGGTGGAGAGTGTGTCAGTGGGTCATACAACTTTAAAATGGCCGAAATAATGTTCACGACGAAGAGCGAAGTGGAAGACCCAGCATTGTGACTGCTGAACTTGTCGGAAAAGTCGATGCCAAAGTCCGTAAAACTCGAAAATTCTCTACGGATCTCTCTATGGATTTTCCACAAATTTTGCGAAGTTTGTTGCACGAGATCATAACTGAAAAGTTTGGTTAACTCAAGTTTTGTGCGAGGTCACAAAAATCAGCCAATGGCTGCAGCCCTAACGTTTCTGGACGCTTATGATAAAGATGGTTACTCACTACTCGATCGCATCGTTACTGGCGACGAAACATGGGTCAAACATGTGAACTGCAAGACGAAATTGGAGTTAATGCAGTGGGGGCATACAAATTCCCCCCAACCCAATAAATGCATGCAAACGGTGTCGGCTAGGAAGGTGTAATTTTTGTGGACTTCCTGGAAAGGAAGTACTTGGAACTACTTCACTCGACCTTAAGTACTCAACAAAACTATTATTGCCATGATAAATTATTGTGGGATTGTAATTGCATTATTACTCTAGTAATAAATTAAAAGTCTTAAACAACATCTGATAAACATTTTATGTGCTAGTGCTCCTAACCAACTACGATAAGGCAATAGATTATTTCACAACTAACCAATACCGTCTTTTCATGTCAATTCCTAGTTTTTTTTCTAAAAACCGGCAAATTGACAACT